TTGCACCGAACAACATGACATCGACGTGATCTTACTACTATGAGCTTAACCATATAAAAGGAAGGTAAAAAGGGGTATACCCTTCAGTTCGGTCGAGGATTGCACGATGACTTACGTGCGTGTTCGGTACTTCCTTTAATGTCCTTATGTCCTTCCCTTACTTCGGCAACACTTAGCTATTTTTGTACTATTTTTCTCTTATTTTTCCTTGCTATTTTTCTCTTTGTTTCTTGCTGAAGAACACTCGGTTTTTGCATGAGGAAAATGCATAAGAACTCACCTTGCACGTACGGTAATTTGTGGGAGTGAAAACCGAAGGTGAAAGTGAAGTCAAAGAGGTGATGGATGATGCACTCTCCCCTTAACGCCAAGTGTTCTACACGTGTGCTGAGGTGGGACACTTGAGCTTAGTCATAGCCGAGGTGGCGGCCATGCACGGGCTTAGTCATCGCCCGTGCATCCGTGGTGCGCCGTGTGTACAAGCACATAGGTGACTCATAGTCACCACTTGCACACAACCTCATCCCCTTTGAATATTCCACACAAAAATGCTAAGGGTGTGGATTTGAACTTGCTTTAGTTGATCATTATACTTAAGGATTTGTAAGCATGCACTTAGCGCCTAATGGCACACGCATATAAGCTGCGCGCGGCAATGCGCGCAGCGCACGTTCACGCGTACGGCTGTACGCACATCATGCACGCATAAGTGCGTGTACTCGTGTACACTTAATGTACCTTGTGCACTCCTGATTCAACATAACCTTGAACATTAAATTCCGAGCATCCTTAGCTATTAAAAGTTAATCCCGATTAATAATGTCCGTTTACAAAATAAACGGTTCGAAAGTTAATTATCGAATTTGACTCGGTTAATAATTAACCGGATAAACTTTTCAACTTAACGTCGAACTTATTCGCTTAAAATGAACAAAATCGATAAAAGATAATACATCATTTATATTGACAAAAAGTTGGGTTATTACAATCTACCCTCCTTAAAATATTTCCGTCCTCGGAAATATAAAACAAAACATATATATACATGAAAATATACATATCGGAACTGAAAGTCGGGAAAGCGAGCGCGTGTCAGCCTCCTGCTCCCAAGTAGCTCCGTGGTGATCCCACTGAATACGTACGAGGGGAACATTACGCTTCCGGAGCCGTCGAACCTGTCGGTCCAACACAGCTATCGGTCGCTCCTCGTAAGATAAGTCTGGATGAATCTCAATATCAGTATGAGGAATAACATGATCGGGGTCGCACATGTACTTGCGTAACATAGACACATGAAAGACATTGTGCACACTGGATAACTCGGGAGGTAAGGCTAAACGATACGCAACATCGCCCACTCGCTCGAGTACTTCGAACGGGCCAATAAACCGAGGGTGTAACTTCCCTCTCTTCCCGAATCGAATAACTCCGCGAAATGGATTAACTCTGAGAAAAGCGTGCTCGCCAATCTCGAACTGAATATCTGGTCGATGATGATCGGCGGTTGATTTCATTCTGCTCTGAGCTGTTCTGAGTCTCTACCGGATCAACTCGACTTGCTTGGCTGTCTCCTCGATCAGCTTCGGACCCAGTACTCGACGTTCTCCGACGTCGTCCCAATAAAGAGGGGAACGACATTTACGACCGTATAGTGCCTCATAAGGAGCCATCTGAATAGAAGAATGATAATTGTTATTGTACGTAAACTCGACGTACGACAATAAAGACTCCCATTTAGCACCCCTGTCAACAGTCAAAGCGCGTAACATATCCTCTAACGTATGTATAGTCCGCTCCGTCTGTCCATCAGTCTCGGGATGGTAGGCTGAACTGAAGGCTAACTTCGTACCCATTGCTTCGTGTAAACTCTTCCAGAATCTACTGGTGAATCTGGGGTCTCTATCTGACACATTAGTAACAGGTACTCCATGGAGCCGAACGATCCCACGGACATAAATCTCAGCTAACTGATCCAAATACATACTCATCGATACTGGTAAGAAGTGGGCAACTTTAGTCAATCTGTCGACCACGACCCAGATAGCGTCGTGATGTTCAGATGACCTTGGTAACCCCGTAACAAAATCCATCGCAACCTCCTCCCACTTCTACCTCGGAATCGGCAGTGGTCGTAGAAGGCCTATCGGACTCTTATGCTCGGCTTTGACTTGCTGACAGGTCAAACATCTTCTTACAAAGTCGGCAACGTCTTTCTTCAATCCTTTCCACCAAAACGACCCTTTTAGGTCATGGTACATCTTTGTGCTTCCTGGATGGGCTAGATAGGGTGCAGTATGAGCTTCAGATAAAATCTCCTTCCTCAATGCTTCGACTTTAGGCACCACAATCCTATCACGAAACTCCAAGGCCCCATCAGTGCCTTGGTGAAAACCTTCGACGCCTTCGACACGAACCTTGGCATTAATCGTACGAACGAACTCATCTGAAGACTGCTCTTGCCGGATTCTCTCCCTCAGCGTCGGTTGAACCTGCATAGAACTCACACTTCCCAAACTGGCTGTAGGAAGTGCATCGACTAGCTGGATTTGCATCCGGGCAAACTCATGAAATAACTGACTCTGCTGAGTAACAACGTACGTCAAATCAACCCTTCACTTTGCGGCTTAGGGCATCAGCAACAACATTCGCCTTTCCTGGTAGATACTGGATCGTACAATCGTAATCCTTGACGAGCTCTAACCAACGGCGCTGCCTCATGTTGAGCTCCTTCTGAGTAAAGATATACTGCAAGCTCTTATGATCGGTAAAGATTTCGCATTGACCGCCGTATAGATAGTGTCGCCAAATCTTGAGGGCATGAACAACTGCAGCTAATTCCAAGTCGTGCGTCGGATAGTTCTGTTCATGTGTTTTAAGCTAGCGTGACGCATAAGCAACGACCTGGCCATCTTGCATAAGTACACATCCCAAACCCTGCCTCGAAGCATCACTATAGATGGTGAAGCTCCGAGAAGGATCGGGTATGGTCAACACCGGTGCCGTCGTAAGCCTCCTTTTCAGCTCCTGAAAACTCGACTCACAACGGTCTGTCCACTCGAACTTTACAGACTTCCTCGTCAGTTGAGACAAAGGGAGTGCAATCTTCGAGAACCATTGATAAATCTGCGATAATAACCTGCAAGGCCGAGGAAAATACGAACCTCGGACGGATTCTTTGGTGCTGACCAATTCTGGACTGCAGTAATTTTGGAAGGATCAACTTCAATACCTGCTGAAGTGATAATGTGGCCAAGAAAAGCCACTCGCTGAAGCCAAAATTCGCACTTGGAGAACTTTGCATATAACTTCTCTCGTCTAAGGGTCGAAAGAACGGCCCTCAGGTGATCCTCGTGCTCCTCCTGGCTCTTTGAATAAATAAGAATATCATCGATAAAAACAATAAAGAACTGGTCGAGAAAAGGATGAAATACACGATTCATCAAGTCCATGAATACTGCCGGGGCATTACTGAGGCCAAACGGCATAACCACGAACTCGAAATGACCGTATCTCGTACGAAAAGCTGTCTTGGGTATGTCTGACTCCTTGATTTTCAGTTGATGGTAGCCTGAACGCAAATCGATCTTAGAAAACACGCAGGCACCCCTCAACTGATCAAATAAATCATCGATCCTGGGAAGTGGATATTTATTCTTGATTGTCAACCGGTTAAGATCCCGGTAGTCGATACACATACGCATGGATCCGTCCTTCTTCTTGACAAAAAGGACTGGTGCTCCCCAAGGAGAAACGCTCAGTCGTATAAAACCGAGATTCAGCAACTCTTGGATTTGGGTCTTTAATTCCTGCAATTCTTTAGGCGCCATTCTGTACGGTGCCTTTGAAACGGGTCTGGCTCCAGGGATAAGATCAATAGAAAATTCCACCTGTCGGCAAGGCGGACCTCCGGGAAGCTGGTCTGGAAACACGTCCATGAACTCACGAACGATAGGAATATCATGAGGTGAACGTGCCTTTGATTCATCTCCAACGAGGCTCATAAGATAACCCTGGCAATCACCTCGTCGAAGAATCTTTCTGGCTTTCGCCATAGAAATAATATGTGGTAGAGTACGAGTCCTGGAGCCGTAATAATTGATCTGATCATCTCTTGGAAGATAAAGAGTAATCTCCCTGTCATAACATCGAATATCTGCGTGAAATCAAGTTAGCCAATCCATACCGAGTATGAGGTCAAAGTCCCTCATCTCGATAACATAAGTATCAGTAATCAGAATACGGCCGCCGATGGAAAGGCTGAGATCGGTGGCTCTAGCGTCAGTCACTATCTTTCTTCCCGAGGCTAAACTTACCTCGAGAGGATCGACAGCGGTAGTGGAACGAACCCCAATAGCTTCGAGACATCGACGTGATATAAAAGAATGGGTCGCTCCGGTATCAAATAAGGCATAGACAGGCACATCATTAAGAATAATCATCCCGGACATGGTACCTGGATGCTGGTCGGCCTCCCTCTGGTCAACTGCAAAAACGCGAGCCTGTTGTCTGCCGCGTTGCTGTTGCTGTGGTCGTGGTGGTTGCTGCCTGGGCTGTTGTTGTTGAAGTTGCTGTTGTTGAGGTTGCTGTGGCTGTTGACGTTGTTGCGGCTGTTGTTGCAGTCGTTCTGGACAATTTTTGCTGAAGTGACCTGGCTGGCGGCAAAAGAAACAAACATTCTGGCCCACGAGGCATTCTCCACGATGGTTTCCCGCAGGTTGGGCATTCTGGATATTGTCTGGGACGGGTCCTCCGGACATCAAGAGTGTTTCTGTACTTCCTCTTCTTCTGGTTCTTGGACGGTTGGGCAACTTTGGGCTGGGCTGGTGATTGAGCAACTGGCTGAGCTGGTGTCTGGACGGATTCACGTCGGATACTGGCATCGACTTCCTGTGCAATGGCAACTGCGCGGGCGTAGGTCTGGACGCCGTGGCCTACGATGTTGTGGCGGACTGCTGGGCGAAGTCCGTCGGTGAAACGGTGGGCTCTCTTTGCTTCCGTACCTACAAGATCTGGTAGAAAGGCTCCGAGACGGGTGAACTCTCGTTCGTACTCGTCAACAGTACGAGTACCCTGAGTGAGTGCCAAGAACTGGCGCTCCATGTCTGCATGGTAATACGAGGGATAATACTTTTCTCGGATCAGCTCTTTGAACTGGTCCCACGTACAACCGTCTTTGTCACCGGGACGCATACTCCAATAGGCCTGCCACCAGAGTCTGGCATCACCGGTCAGCTGGATCTGAGCACATAACATGCGATAACGATCGGGGCTGTTCATGACCTCGAAAATAATCTCGAGACCCTGAACCCATTCATCTACTACACGAGGATCTCCTTGGCCGGAAAACTTTTCTGGATGGTAGTCGCGGAACAAAGCGACCACTGTGGCCTAAGGGAGTTCCTGGTGATCTGGCTCTCTACGAGGAGGCATCTGAACATTGAAATATTTAACATGATTAAATAACATAAGAGATTAACTGATTGATTACTTACGTACACAAATCTCTTGACGAGTCGCTAAATAACCCGAGAATACTAAAGTCGAACTATCAAATAACTAGGACAATCGACTAAGTTCTGAAAATACTCGAGCACCTTACTGGTTTCTAGGGTTAATAATCTGGTACCCTCTATTGAGCATAGACTTGAGTATTCATTTAAATATACAAATAAACTGAACTTCAGCACTTACCTGATAGTCGGCGAGGCGTGAGCGTAGCGTGGTCGGGTCGTTTCTGAAAATTTCTTACTTTAAAAGTATTCAAATACACGAAAATGTGCTCTGATACCAATTTGTAACACCCCGCTAGCTTACTAAAATCAGAGTGCGATTTCCGCAAATTCTTTTCTAAAGTTTACGTTTTTATTTTGCGAAAACATATCTCGGGATGCTACATAAAATATTTCTTTTCTAAAAAAATCCGTTAACTATAAACACATTTATGAAAAACGGATTATTATTATAAAACAAGCGCGTGATACTGTATAAAACTAGATCTGAGAACTCGGATCGTCGTCTAAAAATTTAAACGCTAGTTTGAAAGTCTGAAAACGTCAGCGGAAGTAAAACGTGGCAAATATATACACATCAACAGTCTGCAAAAATATAAACATATTTACATGTACTGGACCAGCGACCACCAGCTCCACTCACTCCTCCGGACTGACCTTGTCTCCTGAAAAGAATCATAATAGTGGGAGCGTGAGTACTATAAACACTGTACTCCGCAGAAACTCATACTAAGGTAAACATTAATAATAATTGCATCATCATGATCAAACGCATGCATATCTGCCTCTATCTATAACTGGTCGTCAACAGTATAAACTGGACGTAAACTGTGTCTGCCGACTGTAATAATACTAGCCGGAACCATGTGCACACCCTAGTGGTCAGATCTACCCACTAGAGCTCGGAGTGGAATTACGCAAACTGGCCACCACTCTAAGCGGAACTGATATATACATACCTCGCATGATAGCTGTAATTATACGTAATGTAATACTCAGTCTGAGTCCCCACCTGTATTGATAATGTAAGTGCTGATGCTGATCACTCTGTAAAAATTATATAAATAAACAAATACTAAGTACTATGCTAGGGCTGACTGAAAATAACTTTTAAGATGCTCGACTCATTCTAAATATTTAACTGGAATATTCTCGGGACTTAACTTGACTGACAAGAAAAACCGGACTGAAATGATATCGGTGTACTGGACTGACTGGACTGAAAAATTAACTGAAATACTGTACTGGACTCGAACCGGGTCAGTAAATATTGAACAACTCCCAAACCGGTTAAAACCGGCCGGTTCATTTTCTGGCCGGACCGCCGTCTCGCTGAAGCTGGGCGGTCGGCT